ATAGACATAAGAACTGCAACTGCTATTATGTTATTTTTAACTTCTTTCAGACCATCTTGTGAATTTTGACATCACCAAAAATAGAGATAACTTGTTATGGGACAGTCGTCAAGTACCTGAAACTGAAAGTGCCAACTTTTCAACACATTATATTGACATGTCTCCACTTTAGGGGATGATACCCTTTCCTTTTAAACTATAAAGAAGTGTGCATGACAGAGAGAGCGTTGATGACCCGCGTTCGGGAAAATATTACCAGCGTGTAAGACAATCATGGTGATTGCGGGCATGTTTATCATGAGAGTGTTGAGCACAACATCACCAACAAGTTAGAAATGAAAAATGTCACTGCATGATGGGTGCCTAAGCTCATGACATCGGATGAGATGTGTCAGATTACTGATGTCCTGTAACATTCGATGTATAAACATGGGTGATATATATTACGATCACTTGCTTTGGAATGGGAATGATCCTCCATCTTGGTCACCTACCAGATCCCATGGGATTAAGGTCGTCAGGAATCTTAGAAGATTAAAAGATTAGTTCTACAAAGGGTTTGTATTTAATATGGATCATTCAATAGTCAAAAAAGTCGTGCACCTTTGATTGAAACCCCTAACTATCAATATATTTTATTGAATAATATGCCTAGGACGAAAATTCTTGACTGAATGAATATTTTGAACGTTTCAATGAATTAATATTGCAATCTCTATTCCGTTAGCCTTCTGAAACATGTATTGGCAAAATAAAGGATAGTCTTTAACATTGTCCGTTCAGTAACGAAGTTATGTCCCTTGAATTGTAAAGTGCCCGTACAAACGGCCTCTGTAAAAGTTAGGCAAGCGCTCTGTAACATAACAGTAATGAATGGCCTTTTGTTACCGGAACTATGTCAATATTGTCAAGTGATCACATGATTCTGGCAATTTAAATATTAGAAGCTGGTTTTTCGCGACTACAAGTGTTTGTAAACAAAACATCCGTGAGATAATTGTATTCAAACAATAAAATATTTCATTGGATAACCAATAGTCAACGTATAGCATTAAATTCATATTATGAATTATGTAAATGTCAACGTTATCTCCAGAGTATTTAAATTTAAGGACTATATCTAGGTCGCAGTATTATTATCAATAGACAAATCACAGCAGAAGTATAGGTTCTCGCCCAAGAAGACACAACGGAATTCACCATTCATTACTGAGTCAGCTTACGGAAACTGCAGAGAATTGCCGAATGGTGTATTTGTAAGAAAAATGACAATGACTAAGAAAATAGATAACCTAAATCAATTTTTTTAAGTCAAAGAATATAAAATCTGTAAAGACAAATAAAAATGTTGCAGATTATTTCAATTTATTTTCGCAAACAATACAATAGCACTGTGTTACAATCAACCAGCAGTCTGTGTACTTAAACTTTTTCAATCATTTAAAACAACCAATTTTAAATCTAATACGTACATTAGAACCATGCCTACACATTCTATCTGGAGAATACATGTTTATCCCGTGATTTATTGGTATGTAAATGAATTAATTTGGTGAAATAAAACATGCTTTGTATCGTAAAAACACAAAGTAATGTTTAAATGGATGCTTAATGAGTTAACGTCGATATTTGTATTAAATTGAGATGAAAGAATTTTTTTCTAATCGGCTGATCGGAATGGTGTGCTTAAACACATTAGAATAAAAACGTATTTTAATGAGTATTTTTTTTGAATGGTCGCGTACTCAGTTCTGAAAAGGGTTAATTTGTGATTTGTCGGGGCATCAACACGAACATATTTATTGCACAGTGCTTCTGTCCAGCCAGGGGCGTAGCGTTTTACTAAATTTGTCGGTTAAACGCGGAGCCGTAACCAAAACTGTGAAAACCTTGTGTTCGTTATGATGTTACCGGTAACCTGTTCGCCAAGTGATTGTCGGTAAAGTGTTTCAGTTGTACCAAGCAACAAGTTGTGTGCATGGTATGCTTCAACTGGTGCAGTTTTACCGACATGTTGACGAACAGATTACCAATAAAATCATTACCTACACAAGGTTGACAAGCTTTCAGCTAACCAATCGGTTTTACCTTCGGCTCCAGCCATTACCGTCTTTTACCACTCTTTTCGATATCATTATCTGCCAATAATGCAATCTATAAACAGTTCGTCTTCATTAAAGGTGATTGTCGGTAAGACTGTTTCATTTGTACCAAGAATGTCAACAAGTTGCATTGGTGGCAGATATCGAAATGATGGGAAATGACATCGAAAATAGTGGTGCAAAGAATTTGCGAAATGCTGCAAGTGTCTCTATGGGAAGCATCGTTTTCATCCAAGCCTTGCTAGCCAATTAGCATTGACCATTCCAGTGGCCCCACGAGCAGTTGGTGTGGAAATAATTATATATCATATTATAACATAATATAAAGAATTAAGCTAAAACGATGTATTTAGTATGCACGTATGCATATATAACGTCTTAGTGCTAGTGACAGGGCCTTTAAGGAGCGTTTAAAAGAACACTTAGACGTTACATCCCCACTCAAAATGGCTACGCCCCTGTATCCAGTATAGAGTGAGCAAATTCAGCTTACGAAGTGCCACGATATGTTGGTGATATGTTGTAACTTTTAAAAATTCTTTTTGCATTCGCCAAGTGTATTGATTTTTCTACTGAACGAATCGTGTCACTCAGTTTTCAGGAATCCGACAAGTCACCATAGGGCAAACTTTAGGGCTTGATAACCTCAATTGGTGAGTAGCAGCATGGCAAACTGTTCCATCAGACCTGATATGACAACTCGAACGTAAGTTTGACCTATCTATCTGTAACGGCGTGTACAAAAGCTGTTGACATAATGTTGAAAAGTACAAACTAACTTTATTGATTTGATTTTGACGAGACTAAAAGTATATAAGGTAATCTCTATAGTTTGTAAAAAATGGAATTTGAAATATTTTCTTAACTCTAATCGCCTCATCCAGAAATCAGACTATCAGATCGTGTGAAGCAATCTGATAAATATGTATGGTTACTGAACGAGTTACTCAATTTTTTTATGCATTTTGGTCCATTGGGCCATTGCGATAGGCGAACGTCTTATGGCGTTTGGTGTTTTTATAGGTTTTGTCAAATTCAGTTAGCACAAAAGTGAGAGGTTGAAGAGATCTAACATATTTTTATCAGTGATAATTTTCTAGTAAGAAATTGTCCTTACCGATGCCTTGAAATTCATTTTTCGCATCGATCAGTTACCAACGGTTGCGAATAAAAGGCGGTCATGAGTTCCAAACACAACTCACAACTCAGTGGCATGAGTGTTGCGTTCGAAACTTGTGGCCGCTTTACGTAACTGAATACATAACCTAACTTGCGATCACTATGGTATAAAGGCCCCTTAATATCAATACATGTATTTGTCTAAATTTTCAGCAAAGTTATTTTATTTATTTTCCTATTCTCTTCTAGAATCAGATCAACCCACTCATTCCTACCGACTTTCTGGTATTTAATTTTAGACCTAACTAACACACGTATTTCATGGTTCTGAAGTGATTCCGAGTAAATCATAGCTAAGATGGGATAGTTCAAATTTAACGATAGCAATTATATTGACTGATTTTCAAGCGTTTAATTTCCCAAGACTGTGTCGTACTACATAACTGCTATGGGTGGCAGAAAACCCATCAAGCGCTTCTACAAAAATGCTTCTTGTTTTCTACATGTCTTCATCGGTCTGTTAAAAAAGGATAGAATTATGCTCGTCTTTATTTCAATTCAGTAATTGGACAGTCACGAGACATTGAAACAATCTACAGAAAGTGACAATTAAAGTTCGGTCTATTGGACTAATTTAATGTAAGAACAACAAGGTGTTCCTAACGCAGACTACAGTAAACGACCTTGTACCAACAAACTTTCAAGACTTAGAAGCATGTCGTCCTACTGTCAAAAACGTAGCATGAAGTTGTAACCACCTTTTCCCCTATATGAATCATCGTAATAAAGTTATTAAAATACACATCCTACATCAGCCAGTCAGTCTTGTGTAATCCCTAGTTACGATGATTAGTAAATAATGCGAAGCTGAAATTTAATTAACGGGTTTGATCTCGTTTTGAACTGCTGTAGGGATGACATGGAAAATTCGTCTAGTCGTTCGGATGGGACAATAAACCGTGGCCTCGTGTGCTACAGGCTGTGCACGTTAAAGATCCCTCAACAGTTGGAAATCGAAAAGAGCAGGCTAATGCCACTGTCCCGGCAAAATTACCCTCATTACAGCCTGAATGGCGTAGCCCGTCTTCATTAGCACACATGGTGCAGAAAAGTAAAACTCTATTCATTTCATTTCATTTTATTTTGAGCTGCTGTATCTGGAACAATTTAACACTAAAGTTTAAGATATAGCACTGATTTCTTTGAAACACATTTACGTTGGTAATTAAAATCTTGGAAACCTAGATACGGAATCAGAATTCTTTCCAAGACGTCGACTCGTGTCTTTTATTCACTATATTTCTGAAAGTATTTTAAAATATATTACACTACACATGAAAATCCGGTTAATCAAGATTCTGATAAAAACGAGCAGGATATATTATGAAATATCTATAAGAAATGTCTGTAACTACTGTGATCAGAAGAAGACGAAAATCTACCTGCGAAGATCCATTTCAGATCGTATACCTCTTATCGTCTCAGGTCATCAGTATTAGAAATGTGGAAGTTGAATGAACACTTGTAGACAGAAAGACTACCATGAACTACCACTGTATTGTCTTACTGCTCTGAAATATAGAATTTAAAACCAATATCGGGGAAGACGATAATGAAAATTATACAGAAATCTTATGGTGGCTCGACCCTGGGGGATGTAGGTCTAAACTATGTAAGTTGAAACAAAGTAAAGATAAATATAAGTTATAGTAAGAGTTGAAAATGCCCTGAGAACATCTTATTATCGGTTGTTCTGTATTTATCCTATTGTTGTATTCGCATGGGTTCAACCACTTTGAAGTAGAAGCCTTTAAAAATTCCTTATAAAAAAAATGATGCCGGAAGAAATTTCTATTATTTCCCCTCTATAATTGAAACATTAATACAACTATAATTATGAAGTCAAAATTGTATGGTCTTAGCTTTGATACTTTTTGACGAATCCTGAAATGAAAAGTGTTATCGATATATATTTATGTATTGTGGTTTTATTTCTATGTTATTGTGTAAATCTGGGTCTCTGGTTTGGAATGATAATTCCTAGATATTTCATTATAATTTTATATTCAAAATAAATCTAGTGTTTATGCAATTCAAAAACTAAGGAGTTGAAAAGGAAGTACACCGAAGGATATATTGTCCACAAAGCTTTCTTTAGACCAGTGACTCTCGACCTTTATGATACAATACAACACCCGAGAAATAACCCTAGCTCTGTAAACGACAACTGAATAAAAATCTAAACCTGAGACATAGAATTAATGGAATTGTTTCAAACTTATATTTAAAGAACACGCCACAGATTTACACTTCAAGTTGAATGGGGATGTCAAGATCCTTCAGTGAGAACCTCAGCTTAGGAGATTCTGAGGATTAGTGTTTTCATTTTGGAACCATTGCTCAATTTCTGTGGAATATAATGAACAAATTCTTATGAATTACAATTACTAACTTTATTTGAGCGACGTTTCGACCAGTGTTCTCTGGTCTTTATCAAGCAATGAGGATCAGTGATTTCATTTTGGAACCATTGGAACAATTTCTGTGGAATAGTTCGGATAATTTAAATGTATATTGTTGTCTCAATATTAGCTGTCTTAAAACTTTTCCGCCACGGGGCGCAACCCTGGTAAAAACCGCATGTTCTCACCGCCATTTGCACAGATCGAACTCACTTACAACTTGTCTGTTATTATTATGTAAAGTAATGTACAATAGTTATTCAGTTATATTAAACACAAAAACACAACGTGAACTCTAATTATATCCCCCCTTTTGTCCCCTTTATGTATAATTCACCCCAATTTCCTCGTTCTAAATTTCACCCAAGGGAATTTTGAATTCACCCCTCGGGATGCATATGACCTCCGAATTCAATCTTTCATCATCTACTTATACCAAGATAGTTTTTAAATGTTACAAATTTTGTATGACATATTTTTCTAAATAGATCAATATAGCCTGCTTCACTGACAACAGACACATTTATCTTTTCACAAATGTCATATCTAAATTATTCAAATTTCAAAAACAATTGTTGATATATATATAAAAAAAACTATGCCAATTAAGCAATTAGTTTAATGCAGTCTGCGAAATACTTTCATGTCATAAAGTCGGTTCATTCGGGAATCAAGAGGAATAAAGGCCATTTAATTACTTGAATTCAAATTGTTTCTGATACTTCAAGGGTCTCAAATGGATTTTAATTGTATATATCATTAGACATATATTGACAATAAAATGTTGCAGATATATTGTCCAATTTCTTCACAATTCATATAATTCGGTTTGAAATGAAAGCTCCTTTCAAAGCTTTTATCGCAACTGGAATCTGTTGATTAAGATAATTCCCTATGCAACGATACGATTATTGACATCTAACCGTTGCTTTAACAATCCCATATTCTCGTCATTAGAGACCAATAACCTCCCTCAAATTTGTTCTCCAGTTAATAATATGTCTTCATGTGTATATTTTTACTGTTTAGAAGTTGATATTCAAATTGATATAAAAATGATCGAGAAATTTCTATTTACCGACGACCGTGTGAAGACAGTATTTAATTTGCGATCCGACGACGAATCGTAACCTTTAATTCTCACATGTTATCACGTAATTGCATTATTTGTAGGGGAACCCATCTTTAAACTCATTGATGTATATGAATGATGTGCTGCGAAAAAAATCTCTCGACATAAGCAGTAAAACTGACAACACAGCAGTTTGATATCCGCCTAATATTTAGGTCTCCTCGACACAATAGGTTACAGAATTCTATAAGTAACCTTTAATAATATTTTAAAAGACGTCCATTGATTTTTATAATAACGGTGATTATCAGTCACTAGCTCCATTCTTGTTTCATACACTACACGTTAT